CTGCCCCAGGGCCAACCCCCCCCATGCAGGGAAGCCCTGCGCGCGGGCACCTGCCCCGGGGCCAACCCCCCCTCCTGTGCAGGGATGCCCCGCGCGCCTGCCCTGGAGCCGACCCCCCCCTCCTGTGCAGGGAAGCCCCGCGTGCATGATATCAATGGGTTCCTCCCGTGCAGGGAAGCCCCGCGCGCGCCTGCCCATAGGGCAGCGCCCCCCTCCCCTCCCGGTGCAGGGAAGCCCCGCGGGAGCTTGTCCCCACACCAACCCCCCCCACGCCGGGAAGCCCCGCGCGAACGCCTGCCCCGGGGCCAACTCTCCCCTTCCCCGCCGGGAAACCCCCTGCACGCCTCCCGCGGGGCTGACTCACCCCTCCTGTGCAGTGCAGGGGGCCGGCAGAGCAGCTAGCGCACTTCTGGAATTGCCGGAAGTGGTGCTAAGCTGCAGGACTTCTGAAGCTGACACTACCTCTTGAGGTAAGTAGTGGGGCTTCTGGGGGGTGGCCTCGAGATCGACCAGTAGCTCGCGATCGACCTGTTGGTGACCACGGCTGTAGAGGCTCCTATACAGAGCTCCTAGGTTCAAATCCACCCACTGGCAGTTACACAAGGCTCTATCTGTCATGCATAATTGAATTTGTCTTCATCAAATTATGATTTCTGTTTTTGCAATCTCTTCCATTATGTTCTGTGCTGGAAAAAACATTGTCAAGATTAGTCTTTTGCACTTATTCCTGACAGGTGCCCAGTCCAGGAATGACACCTTGTTGAATGGTTTTGATTTATAAGCTCTCAAATCAACAACTTTGTTTCTCACAACTATACCCAATCCTGTGGAATAATGAACTCTTTCCTCAGAAGTCTGACAAGGGGTAGGAGCTGGAATTTCTCAGTTTGGACACCTGCTGTAGATCAGACTTCAGTCTCTACTAGGGATATAAGCGAGTAATCGACTAACCAATAAGCCTAGGCTTATCAGTTAGTTGAGCCAACCACTCGCTTTCTCCCTACCCCATTGCTGCCTCTGTTTCAGAAGCAGCAAAGGTGAGAGGAAGCAGGAGCCAGCACTAGGGGGAACGAGCTTAGAAGTTAGTTCCTACCCCAGTACCATCTTTGTGGTGCTGTCTGCCCCCACCGCCCCTCTGCTGCCTCTGGGATGTATGGAGGGAAGGCTGCCTCAAAACAGCCCCATTCAAGGCAACCTGAACTGGCCACGGGCAGAGGCTGCTTTTGCAGCAGCCCCTGTCCTGTGTGCCTGGCTCTTATTACATTTAAACTGCAGAGCAGCAGCGGGATAGCTCCTTGACCTGGTGCAAGCTGGGGCTGAGTGCCTTCCCTTATCAACTAATCGTATAGTCATTAAAATTTTTATTGACTACTTGATTAGTGAATTACCCACCTCTTAACATCCTTAATCTCTACATAGTCCAGATGTATCACTGTGAACATTTTTTTGCTCCCATTAAATTCTTTATTTCAGTAAAGGATGAAAGCAGCTGCCTTAGAGAGAGAGAAATGCAATTAGATTTCAAAGTAGTTTTCATTCTTTTTTTTTTTTTATTTATGTCATAAAGAGAAAGGGACACACTCTGACCTCACTTGCAACCTGTACGGGTTCCCATTGACTGTGATGGGAATGGATGGGAGTTAAGAGGGCAGAATTTTGCCAAATCAGTTATGTCTATCTGACATTTATATGACAAACCTCAACCTGTGCTGTCTGTTATCTTGCTTGACGAGAAAGTTGGCTGTTGAGTAATCCAAGTGTGAGTGTTTCTGGCACTTGAGCAGTTCACAGGAAGGTCTGTTTCTCAGATAAGAGCAACCTTTAAGTAGGCTAATAAATTAGCTGCATCACAGCTCCCCTACATTGGGGCTAAAACTGACAATTCTTGGGCTGCTGTTTTTTAGAAGCAGGGAATGTGCTCCAGAGATTAATAGTGCATGTACAAAGAGGCTGAAGGTATTTTGCCATGCCCTGCTGTAGCAGCAACTGGTATACATAGCTATATTTTTTAATATACTCGCTGAAGTTTCACAAGGCTTATAGCCAAATAAAAATGCTTCATGTACTGAGAAATATTCAGTGCTAGTTAGTTGGAGGGAGTGACATTCGTAAACCATTCTTATATGTTTGGGGGAGTCTCTGTTCTTTATAATTTTAAGCAGAACATCTGTGGTGGAAATGATCTAGTTTGAAAAAGACAGACCATTTGCCTGTCTGGATGTTCTAAATCATTTTGTTGTGGTAAACTTAGAATGAGCCAGGTGCTGTGAGTACATAAGAAGACAGGCCCTGCCCCAAGGGGGTTTTAATTGAAACAAGCCAATACATGCAAGGCAGGGAAGAGAGAGACACCTGTTGTGCTCCTGTGTGTCTTATCTTCCAGCCAATGGCTAACAGTTCTGAACAGCTTTAACTTGCCATGTGCTTACTGTAGTACCATAGAACAGCAGTTCCCAACCATGGGTGTGTGAACCCCTCTCTGCCGGGCTGTGGTACGTTGCCAGCCCATGCCCCCAGCTTTTATTTAGTCTGCCCACTGGGGTTCCCTAGAGAATTCCCTTTGCGCCCATACCCATGTAGCAGCAGGGTGAGTGGAGCAGCGGGCAGCCGGGTGTGCTGGAGGTGGGCTGTGGTGAGGTTGTCCCTACTAGGGCAGCCTCAGCGTGGCCCTGGTTCTAGCTCTGGTGGCTGCTACGTGGCAGGGCTGCGTAGAGCGCGGCTGCCCCGGCCAGTGAGGCCAACCATCCTGGGATGGGCAGTTGTCCTTGTGACCCTATTCTCCTTCCCCCCACAGAGATGGTGCTGGGGAGGAACTAGCTTTTAAGCTGGTTTTTCCCCTAGCACTGGCTCCTGCTTCCTCTCACCCTTGCTGCTTATGATACAGAGGCAGCAAGGGGGTGGGTAGAAAGCGAGTAGTTGGCTCAACTACTTTAGATGCGCCTAGCCAGCAGGTACACACATTATTAATTATTATTATTATTATTATTATGCATCATTAAGCGCATAGGAAAATATGAATGTGCAGAATGTGTCAGCACTGTCAGACCTGTTAATTGCACCAGAATTAAAGAGGCAATAGTTGAGGCAAAAGGTTTGGACTGGAGAATACTCTTTAGCAAGTATTAGAAACAATTTTAATGTTTTTTTTGTAAATGTGTGTGTGCGCAGCAGTTTTTCAAATTCTTGTTACTCATCATGTCTCTCCCCGCACTTTGATTTGCCTGATAGACCATGGGCTAAAATTACCATAATGAATATGCAAATATTTCAGTGATGACCCACCAACAGTTTTTGAATGAGGTTGCCAGTCTGTGGTATAAAAAAAGTTGGGAACCACTGCCATAGAGTACCCTCGCTTCACCATGTGTTTTTTTTTTTTTAATGGCTCAGGTCCATACTTCTCTTTTTGTAGTTCACTGTGGTGATATTTTATGTACTTGGCAGTGACCTAAGTGAACAGCTTTGGGTTTTGCTTAGAATTCTGAGGCAGGTGTAAAATGAAGCTATGTGTTGAAGAGTATTTAAGTTTTGTTTCCCCTAAGCTTGACATTCTGTCTCCAGGTTGCGTGGATAACTTAAGCACTGTCTATATTTTCAAAAGACAAAGGCCTCTCAAACCATCTCTAACTTTGGTCATTCCTACTCTCTCTTTCCTCTCCCCAGTTGACAATTTTTCAGTTTTGGAAAATGGGGCAAGTTTTTCTCTTAGGCTAAATCTAGTTTGTGTAGCTTTTTCCGATTGCTTTTCTGGAAGAGGCTTTTCTGTCATTTAGCCCGGTTGGGGCTAATAATAATGCTTATTGTTACATCTACAGGTGCTACTTCAGCTTTAACCATTGGAACTGTTTCCCGGAACCGTTCCTTGCAGGGTATCGTCACGCTTCCTATGGACGTGGAGAAGGTGAGAACACTGTATTGATTGTACCAATGTTCTAGTGCAGAATAATCACTTATGAATAATTATGCTTGATTGTTTGATAGTCTATGTAGAACCAATTCCATCTGATTGGTGTTAAGAGGAACAAGCTCTAGTGATGCCAAAATTAGTCTTTACAACTTGCTATTTTTTTTTCTTTTTTTAAAATGCCCTTTCATTCTGTTTTAGGATGAGCTCTTCAGAGGAATTAAAATCCAGTACAGTTTTTCAATGTTTTTCATCTATACTCCAACCTTTCACTTACTCCAGAGAATGTAATACTTTAAAAAACTCTCTTTTTCATTCCATGTTTTTTCTAAACATCACATTTTCTCAACTTTCAATTTATCTGCTTTATTTCACACTGTTTTGTGAAAGTGTAGCACAGGATTTGTATTGTGCTTGTGCCATGTGAAGGAGTAAGTCATGTTTCCTTGTTCACTTTCTCCACACCAGTCAAGATTTCATAGATCTCTGTCATAACCCCTTTTAGTCCTCTCTTTTCCAAGCTAAAAAGTTGTCAGTTTTTTAATCTCTGCTCTTAGAGACGCTGTTCTATTTACCAAATCACATTTGTTGCCCTTCTCGGTATGTTTTCCGGTTCCAATATATCTTGTTAGATGGAGTGAACAGAACTACACCGAGTATTCAAGGTCTTGGCATACCATGGAATGATATAGAGACATTATGATATATTGTCGTCTTATTTAGCCCTTTCCTAATGGCTCTTAACATTCTGGTAACTTTTTTTTTACTTCTGCGGCATGTTGAGTAGATGTTTTCAGAGAACTATTCTTAATGATTCCAAAATCTTTCCTGAGTGTCAACAACTAATTTAGATTCCATCATTTTGCCACTGCCTATCAGTGGGAAAGCAGAGAGTAGAGCCCAGATTTCTTGAATTCCAGTTGAGTGCTCTGTCCAGTAGGCATCACTGCCCCCCTTCACAAATGATCAGAGGAAAGATCAAAAGAGCTCAGTCATGATGAATGAGAGATGGGAGAAAATAATAAATATTAAAGGGTTCAGACATCCAGGATGAGACCAGATGTTTAACTAGAAGTATAAAGCTAAGAGGGTGGGATAGAGCTTAAGAGGATAGAATTAGGATGGATATCAGGAGACTATTGACTTCTGTTAGGCAGTGAAGTAGTCTCCCCTGGGAACTGGTAGAACACTAGACAAAGCACTAATCTACGTATTGAAGATTACAATCTTGCCTTGACAAGGAGAGGTAATAGGTAATTTAATAGGTCTTCTCCACCTTCCTTCTCAAATTTTTAGTGGATTATTTGATATATGCCACCCGCGAGTTGCTGCTCTAGATCCTGAGGGTATTTTTAAGCCGTGGGCTTTCCTATGAGACCTTTAAGTTGTGTGCAAGCAAGGAAACAAGCCACTACATAATGAGAACCAGCAGATTTGTGTTCCATTTCTGGCTCTATGAACAACTTCCTGTGTGATCTTTGAGCTAGTCACGCAGGTTTCTAATACATGCAATTCCCCTCCTGTAAGGGATTAATTATACCTTGCAAACATCAAAGAATTAAGTCTGAGAGATAGGCACGTGCTTTTGCACTTCTGTTTATGTCTCATCTAAGTAGTAATATTAAAGCCTGCCACTCCTTCTCACTTCAGAATTAACATGCACATTAAAGTATCTCTGTATACCTTTAATTAAATCCTAGTAAATAAGCTACATGATTAACACATACTTACTAAAACTTATGTTGTTGTAATCTTGCGAATACATCATTAAAAATGCTGAATGTACACACCTGCCAAGAGACTACTCAATTAAGCATTTGAAGCGTCCTCCTTTTTGGTTTAAAAGAAGGAAAGGACATAAATACAACATATGCTTTAAAAATTGACAGACATAAATTGAGTTTCTTAGATACTGCATCTCTTATCTGTATTGTTTTATACTAATTTTCTTCCATTTCATAAATTAAAGTCCAGGTATGCTTTAAGTTTGCATTTCTTGGCTTGTAAAATGTTGGAAAGAGAAGATAACACTAATTTCCAATTGATCAAGTAAACTAATAATAAACATGCCTCTCTTCTGTGTCCAGGAGAATGCACACTTCTTTATTGCAGATATGATCATAGCATCTGTAGAAAAAATGAAATGTAATATCCTAAGTCAACAGGCAGAGCCCTGGAATGCGGTGGAAACAAGTGGATCAATAGGCAGCTATCAGACTTATTCAGAAATATCCTCTTACACCAGAATGAAGACACAATCTGCTTCTTCTGCATCTTCGGACAGTGGCTGTGAAGGCAAGTTATTTCATTTTTACCCATATTGCAGTATTTCTTGCCAGTCTTTGTCTCGTTAGCCTACAGAAAGATTCCCTGTCCTGTCTAATGTCCACCGACTCCCCAGACAAGTTGTCAGGAATAACATGTTGCTTGTCCCTATGAGATTTATCATGGATAAATCTGAAATCTGATTCTCCAAATGATTCCCAGGCTTGCCCGTTCTTCTCTTTCAACATTCACATCTTTTATGGTTTGCGTCTCTCTTTGGAGTATGCACAGGGGTGTGTGGTGTTCTTTGTGCTGGGCTGTGATTCACTAGAAATTGTAGTTCATGGTTTTTGTTAGTAAAAATGTCAAGTTAGGATTTTTAAAAAACCCACCTTCCAATGCAATATTTGCAATGTGTGGTTTCTGCATCTTCCCTTGTTTATATTAAGGGGGTAGGGAATCTGACTATCTTCATTAGCTGATGTATCAGTCACTAGACATTTGAGTAAGAAGAAGTCTGAAGCAGTGTCTGTGGACATATAGCATGTCAGGGTAGCAAGTGCCTGTGCTAGTGTAAGACTGTACAGTACATGAATTTGTGAAATGGGCATGTCCCAAAAGGGATTTTAATCTGTTGTGCAACATGAATTTAAACTGTGTCACTTCTTTGCAGAGGGAATATAAATGGAGTAGAAGTGTATTGGGTGGAGGAAGCACATTACTATTAAATATTTATAATTGCAGGATCTTAACACAGGCTTGAACCAGCTCAGACCCCCTAGTGTCACTCAAAATTAATATGCACACTAAAGTGCCTACGTCTACCTCACTCCTATAATTAAATCTTAGTGAATATGCTACATGGTTGAACATATGCTTTCTAATATTTATGTTGTGATCTTGGAAATACACCATTAGAAGTGTCTAAATATACCTGCCAAGAGACTACTCAATTAAACATTTTAAGTTTCTTCCTTTTTGATTTAAAAGGAAAGAAAATAAATGCAACATATACTCTTTAAAAAATTAAGATGCACATAAATTGAGCTTTACAGAACATACAACCGAAAAGACGTACGTCTACACTGGCATGATTTTCTGGAAATGCTTTTAACGGAAAAGTTTTCCGTTAAAAGCATTTTCAGAAAAGCGTGTCTAGCTGGGCAGGACGCTTTTCCGCAAAAGCACTTTCTGCGGAAAAGCGTCCGTGGCCAATCTAGACGCGCTTTTCCGCAAAAAAGCCTTGATCGCCATTTTCGCGATCGGAGCTTTTTTGCTGAAAACAAATCTGAGCTGTCTACACTGGCCCTTTTGCACAAAAGTTTTTCGGAAAAAGTCTTTTGCCCGAATGGGAGCAGCATAGTATTTCCGCAAAAGCACTGACAATCTTACATAACTTCAGGCGGCCAGTGTAGGCAGCTGCCAAGTTTTTCCTCAAAGGAGATGATTTTGCGGAAAAACTTGCCAGTCTAGACACAGCCTGAGTGTGTGGCTTTTGTTTGATGGAAAGGGAGAAGACCGTTTCTGAAGGTTTAAAATAGGACATAAGATCCAAATGTATTAATCTCCCCAGAAAACTCATGTTAATGGGTCACTTACTTTGTTAAAGGTTGTGCTGTGCTGCAGGTCAGGTCATCAGTAAATCCACCGTCGTATCATGAGACTGTCAGATTTCACTCCGAGAGTGACTCAGATGATGAATTTGTAATTATTGGTAAGACTTTCAGATTATGCAGATGCAACTTGCTATGAGTCTGGATAGATTTACTAACAGCTTCAGTGCCACTTTTCCAGATCTGCATGTATAGTATGTATTTTATAATACAAATGCCCCGGAGAATGATAAAATTTCTCTCAATAATAATAATAGTGGGAAGAGCTGTAATAGCTTTGCATAAGTGCTAAAACTCTGTCATACATAATAATGATACAGGAGTTCATATCTACAGCAAGAATACTTTCCACTGCTTGATGTGTGTGTTAATGTGCACATGCCATATAATGTGGTAGTGTCCAAAGCACACACATCACAGACACCCTGTCTAGTCACTGAGACATCACTGAGTTCAATTCCCTATTCTGCCACAGGTTTTATGCATAACCGTGGGCAAGTCATTTAGCATTTCTGGGTCTCCATTCCCCATCTGTAAAATAGGTTAAGAGCACTTCCTTACCTGACAGCACTCTTGTGAAGATAGATATATTAAAGATAGTCCGATGCTAAGATACTGAGGTAATAGGAGCCATATAAGAAGTTAAAATAGATAGAATACAACGGTAGAAGGTGGAGGTTTTTGCTTTTTGAGGGATAACAAATTTTTCCTCCTTTTCTGCAGAACTTGAAGACTGGGGAAATATTGCAGCATCTCCGGGTAAAAGGTAATTTTTTGTAACCTAGTAAATAGGCAGATGGCAATACTCTTCCCTGCCACATGGGAGATCAACTTTTACAGTTAACCTTACCAGGGAGCAAGAGCCTCATGGAAGCACACTATGTGTCAGAGAGAGAGGCAGGAAGGGACCATTATTGCTTGAGAGCAAATCTCCACCTCATTTTGGAGATGGCTTTGGGCTCAGAATGGAATCCTTAATCATTGCCAGTGGGGTACAGGGATCTTTTAGGGTATTTCAGGAATGGGCAACCTCAGGCCCAGAGGCCAGATGCAGCCCCTGGCTTGCCTTGGTCTGGCCTCCGAGGATTGGGGAGCCTGTACTGGTGCTCCAGCCCTCCTGCTACCCCACTCCTTCCGTGGGGCTGGAGCACAGAAAATCTACTAGACTGGGCCCCCCCCCCAGGCTCTGGTGTGGGAGAGAAATGTGGGGAGTGTTCTCCTTTCTGCTTCTCAGTTAGAGGTCACATCAGTGAGAGGATTGTGTTTTGTTTTTTGTTTGGCTTCTCACTAGTGTGTGGCCCCCGACTGTTTCTCTGTGGGTCAGTGGCCTATAACCCCCAAAAAGTTCCCCACCCCTGGCGTAGGTGTATCAAAGTGGTTGGCAGTTGTGGGGGAGGAGCAGGAAGTAGGAAGGGTGAGGAATCTTCAGGGATGTGGAGGACACAGATTTACTTATGAAATGCTGCCATTTGGCTTGCTTAATTTTCAGATTATCTTTTGATCCGGGCTGCAATTCTGCTGAAGTCACAGCACAGAAGCTTTACCAAGCATTCAGGAAACGTTGGTTACAGACAGAAACTGACATTCAGCTGTCTCGCTGCCTGAATACAACTAAGCAGAAAGTAAGTCTCTGAACAGAACACAATGTGCTTATTATTTAGACCATTCAGTGCAGCTGCCTTATTGGCAAGGTGAGGAGGAGGATATTAGGAATGATATAAATGTGTTCAAAGTTTGGCTATTTTTAAAGCAATTTGGGGAAGGGGTCTGTTTTGGTTAGAAAGCGCCACTGCATTTAATGCAAGGTAGCACAATCATATAACTGGGATCTCTGCACACAGGGGCTACGTCTAGACTGGCATGATTTTCTGGAAATGCTTTTAACGGAAAAGTTTTCCGTTAAAAGCATTTTTGGAACAGAGCATCTAGACTGTCACAGACGCTTTTCCGCAAAAGCACTTTTTGCGGAAAAGTGTCCGTGCCAATCTAGACGCGCTTTTGCACAAAAAAGCCCCAATCGCCATTTTCGCAATCGGGGCTTTTTTGCGGAAAACAAATCTGAGCTGTCTACACTGGCCCTTTTGCACAAAAGTTTTGCTCAAAAGGACTTTTGCCCGAACGGGAGCAGCATAATATTTCCGCAAGAATACTGACAATCTTGCATGAGATCGTCAGTGCTTTTGCGGAAATTCAAGCGGTCACTGTAGACATCTGGCAAGCTTTTCCGGAAAAGTGGCTGATTTTCCAGAAAAACTGGCCAGTCTAGACACAGCCAGGAAGTCCTTTTAGAGTTGCTACTAAGCATGACATTGGGTATGAAAACTGTGATCGCGTTGACACTTGTTGGTGTGTTGATGGTGACACTTCACTGCATGAACTGCAGAGCAGGTTCACATCTGCTCATCTATTAGGTTGCAGACTAAGTCTCTGTCTTTCTGTTTTTAATAGTTTGTGAATAAAGAAAATATTCCAAAGGAACTTGAGTCTAGTGGGGATCTGGCAGAAAAAATAAAGGTCAAATCCAGATTAAGAGGAACCACAGGCTGGGCCCCACCTAGATTTCAAATAATATTTAGTATTCATCCATCACTCAAGTAAGTCTCAAATACTTGTTTGTCTATGTGACTGTCATTTTGTTTCTGTTATACGCTGAACCCTCTCCAAGGCCTGTTGAGATCCATGAAAAGATTCCTGTTGATTTCATTGGGCTTTGGATCAGGGCTGTTCAGTACCGCGTTCTCCAGTGTATCACTGGATGTTATGTAGTAATACCTACTTTTGCACAGTCATTATGTCCTGACAATATTATTACTCAATACAGTGAGTCACTTTTTAAAGGATTGTGGGGGGCGTTTGTTTGAGTTTGTTTTACTGCCATGCAAGTTATTTTCAGCAAGCAAAAGGCTCACTATGCAGAACTGAGAGTCTTACTATACTTGAAGTGCTGTCAAATTCCCAAAACTAAGAATATCTGCCAACTTCTGTTAAAACAATCTGGAGTATTATTTGTAATTTAATAACATGTACAAAATGCTCAGACAAATGAAACTCAGTTCACAATATCCCTTTAAGCTTTCTCAAAGAATAACTGGGAAAGTATCTCACTTCTCACATACCATGATCTCTGGTAGCAATATCAGACGGGTAGCCGTGTTAGTCTGGATCTGTGTGACGGCGCGTTGGGGGTCCCCCGTCTCCTGCACCCCGAAATGACACAAACAGACTCCACCAGCCAGTGGAATTGAGGGTGGTTTATTGCTCCTCCAGGATACAGCACAGCACAGATGTAATCTGGTTACAGGAACTGGGGCTAAGAGGCCTCAGTGCTCCCCTTGAGATAGGGGAGTCCTAGCCCCCCTCCCCAGCTCCTTCTCCCCTGCTTTCCAGATAGGAACTCACTAACCCTCTTCCAGCCCTGCCCCCCAGCCAGGGCAGCATTCCACGTTCCTTTGTTCCTCTCCATGGGGGGTGGCTGGCCATACTCGTTTGCATAGTGACTCATCCTGTTTTGCTGGGTCGTGGTACCCACGGCAGCCCGGTAGGCAAACTTTAAATTCTCCAGTATGTGTATCATTCCTATAAGAGCACCAAGGAGTCCTGTGGCACCTTATGGACTAACAGATGTATTGGAGCATAAGCTTTCGTGGACAAAGACCCACTTTGTCAGATGCATGTAGTGGAAATTTCCAGAGGCAAGTATAAATATGTAGGCCAGAATAAGGCTAGAGATAACAAGGTTAATTCAGTCAGGGAGGGTGAGGCCCACTTCTAGCAGCTGATCTGAAGGTGTGAACACCAAGAGAGGAGAAACTGCTTTTGACAACATCAGTTTAATATTAAACGAAGACTGTGAATGGCTAGCCAACTACAAAAGCAGTTTCTCCTCTCTTGGTGTTCACACCTTCAGATCAGCTGCTAGAAGTGGGCCTCACCCTCCCTGACTGAATTAACCTTGTTATCTCTAGCCTTATTCTGGCCTACATATTTATACCTACCTCTAGAAATTTTGACTACATGCATCTGATAAAGTGGGTCTTTGCCCACGAAAGTTTATGCTCCAATACATCTGTTAGTCTATAAGGTGCCACAGGACTCCTTGTTGCCTCTGGTTGCCTCCTTGTTGCCTCTGGTATTCTACAAAGACTAGCTTAAATTTCCACTGTAAAATAGTACACAGGACTTCTCTTTTATAACTGACTTCTGCTCTTCCAGACTTCAGAGTTGAAAATATTTGTAAGTCTTAGTGCAGGTGTCTGATATTCTCTCAGTATGACAAACTGATCAGATATGCTTTTGGATAGTCGGAATTAATTTTGTCCATCTATACAGGAGAGATGCTGTGGTAGCTGCACAAAACTTTACTTGTGCTGGTTGTGGAACCCCAATAGAACCGAGTAAGTATTGAAACACAAACATCCCCAAACATAGTGCACCAAACAAAGCCCAGTTATTTGCCATCCTGTATTCTTGCATTGTTGGGATATATTTTACAGTTCTGGCAATATGTTAAGTAGAAGAAAACACTCCAGATTGGCGATGCAAGTATCATATTGCACAATAAGATCATCCCACAACCTGAAATGTCAGTACAGCCTGAACACAATGCCCTGCTCCATCAGCTGTAGGCTACTTCACTGTGCTCCTATATAGCCACACTTGGAAGTGGTGGTGACTTTCAACAATAAAATAGGAAGCACTATTTATGGTGGTGTAAACTACCTTGAGTTTTTAAAAGTAGGCTAATAGTAAAATATAAATTCAAATTTCCAGGCTGTGAATTGTAAATTTTAATTAGAAAATATTTTGAAATTGAATTCATAATCCTTGCAGTTGATACTGTCAACTGGCCTTACAAAGAAAGGTGGTATGAAACTGGCTTTCTTATTTTTTTGAAGACTTGATCACAAAACTCCATTGAATCTTAGGGATGCTTTTTTCCCACAAACTGTTTAATGCTTTGTAATATGAAGATGTATCCATTTCATCAGGTATCATTGTATAGGAAATCTCTGACATGACCTATATTGGGTCCATTATATAAGGAAAGGTACTCACTCATGACTGGCAGAACAAAACTAATATTTGAATTGACATAGATTCAGAGAATGATTAACAATAACTATGCAAAGGAATTGGGAGTTACTGGTGTAACCTCACTAAGGGTATGTCTAGACTACATGCCTCTGTCGCCAGAGGCATGTAGATTAGGCTACCAGACATAGTAAAATGAAGCGGCGATTTAAATAATCGCCGCTTCATTTAAATTTACATGGCTGCCGCGCTGAGCCGACAAACAGCTTATCAGCTGTTTGTCGGCTCAACGCGATAGTCTGGATGCGCGGGTGTCGACATCAAAGGTATTTGTCGACCACCCAGGTAAACCTCCTGGGATGAACAGCTGATCAGCTGTTTGTAGGCTCAGCGCGATAGTCTGGACGCGCAGATGTCGACATCAAAGGTATTTGTCGCGCTGAGCCGACAAACAGCTGATCAGCTGTTTGTCGGCTCAGCGCGGCAGCCATGTAAATTTAAATGAAACGGCGATTATTTAAATCGCCGCTTCATTTTACTATGTCTGGTAGCCTAATCTACATGCCTCTGGCGACAGAGGTATGTAGTCTAGACGTACCCTAAGACCAACTCCTGAACTTGTAGGGGAGGGGGAAACAGTATTTTCAATAAGGCTCTATATAAAAATGTGATAGTGGTAAATGTGTTCTGTCTTGCACAGGCAAGAGAGAGGCTTCCATATTTAAATCATTATCTTAAAAAAAATAACACCTCCTGCATCCTCTCCCCCCTACCTGTTTCTGAAGCTCTGAACTATTTAGTATTGGGTTGAGGTACATGAAAGGCAATACAGCAATTCTTTAAAAAGCCATTCTTCCCTCCACAGAATACATCAGGAGACTCCGCTATTGTGATTACTTGGGGAAGTTCTTCTGTGACTGTTGCCATAGTTATGCACAATCTTCCATCCCTGCCCGAATATTATTGAAATGGGACTTCAAAAAGTACTATGTCTGTAACTTCTCCAAACATCTCCTGCACAGCATATGGCACAAACCCATCTTCAATGTGTCATGTATCAACAGAACCCTCTATGCAAAAGCAAAAGAACTAAACCGAGTCAGGGTAAGTATGGCATCTTTTTAACTGGAATCATAGAGCTGGAAGAGATCTCAGGAGGTCATGAAGTCAAGGTGTTGTCCTGGACATGTCCAGAAGAAAGACTAGGTGCCATGAATCTGATTTAATTAGCCTATTTTTTTATTGATGTAGCTGGAAACTATCCAGCAATAACTCATCCAGTGCAGGCTATTCTTGATTAGTTATCTGTACCATCTGTGTGTGGTCTGCTGCCAACCTCCCTACTCTTCCCCATGTCCCACCTCGTAAAGAGAGACCCTCTCCTAATCCACTTTCAGTTCTAGTTCATCAGGGAATTAGATACCTGTGTTGAACAAGTACTTGCACTAGGCACCTAGCACCAGGAGACAGAAACAGCTTAATTGGCTGCCTCTCCCTGCCACTGAGGGAGCTGCCCTTCATGTGGGCACTCCGACTTCCCCATGGGTTGCAGGGGGCATGCTCTATAACTGACTGGGCAGAAGGGTGAGGAACAAGTCTATTGGTTTTTTGTGTCCTCAAAGGAAGAGCTTACAAACCCTTCCCCTGAGGCGGGGCAGTTGGTTCTGTATAGTTCTCGATCCTACCGTGGAACAACTTGCAGCACTGACCGTTCAATACTCACTTGCAGCCCAGGCCTTTTGGTGCATTCTATAACTAATCTGTCTAAGTCCCTCCTGTATCTTTCCTGATTTTAAACCAAAACTGCTGTATTGGTGAAACACTACATTTAAATAAACTTATAAAACAACACATAGTCTGGTAGCACTTTAAAGACTAACAACAAAACATGGAGATGGTATCGTGAGCTTTCATGGGCACAGCCCACTTCTTCAGATGACTGGAGTGTTGTCTTTATTGCTGCTGTTAAATACTTCTCAATGCTTACATATGTTGCTCTGCTTTTCATTTTAAATGCTACGTTTTCTTATCCTCTATCCTTTAGGAGATACAAGAACAGCTTTTGCATATTAAAAAGCTACTGAAAACTTGCAGGTTTGCTGAAAGGTATGGAGCATGATTTACGTGTAGCAAATCCTTTGTCAAGGAAATGCAATGGGTATTACTGGAGCTTTCCCCTCCAGAAGAATTTTTCTTCATGAACTTTTTAAAGAAGTTAGTTCTATATGACCATCAGAAATTCTGATAACATCATTTTCCTTTCCCCCATATGCTTATCTATTGCAAATGTCAAGTGATGGTGTACAGTAATTACTCATTTAACATGTGCCCGCTTAACATGTTTTTGCGATAGCACGATTTTTTTTTTTTTAAGGACCGTTTTTTGAATAACATGACCGTCCCTGAAATAACACGAAAAAAATCAAGTGGCGGACTACTTTGTGTGGTAGTATAAATTGTGAAAACAGTGGTAATACAGTAGAGGTACTATACTAGGCGGCTGTGATGGGTCTGCTGGGACCTGCACTGCATCCGGCGAGGGGGAGGTTGGCGGGGAACCTTATAGAGCGAGCGGCAAACCCTCCTCCGCTTTGCAGGGAGGCAGGGGAAGCCCCATGCAGCCGCCGGTGACAGGCTAGCTGGGGGCACCCATTCACCAGCTTGAAAGCGGGGGTGGAGGAGAGGGGGCGAGGCTTCCCCCGCCTCCCTGCTAAGCAGTGGAAGGCTCGCCGCCCTGTTCCCCTCCGCCCCCCACTGGATGCAGTATGGGTCCCGGCAGACCCGTCACAGGGGCATACTCCCAACCCAATCCCCCTCCCCTCTCCTCCCCTTCCCCAGAGCTAAACACCTCCCCTCCTTACTGTAACCCAGTCCTTTTTCTCCCCCAACCTTATATCCTGGTCCCAAGGCAGCTGCCTGTGCTCAGCAGCTGGTTGCTAGCAAGTGCAGGCTGGAGCCGCGAGCGCACATGCGGCTCACAGAAGCCCGGCCGAGAGAGTGGCTGCCTGGAGCACTTCCGGGTTCCAGTTGATGCCGGACAACTGGATGCTGCACAATTGGAGTGTTAGTGTACAGTACATCATCTAATGTTGATGCTGACAACTCAGCACCAACAGAAAATTGATTTCGACACCACCACTTGAAACGCAACCCTCACCTTTTCCATTATTTTCAATGGGAAAATTGACCCCGCATAACACATTTTCGCTTAGCACGATCATTTTCTGAAACGTATCTACCATGTTAAATGAGGAATTACTGTATTTTATAAGGCAGCTGGTAGGTTTTTTTTCAGCACCTTTGTAGAAACACTTATGAGATTTGATTGATTAGTAGATGTGTTTAATAATTTTGGCAGATTATTTTTTATTCTTCTTATACTATTCCTCTTAGAGAAATAATGTGAGTATCCTTGCTCAGTGATATAGTTTCTGTTCAAAAATTTTCTAAGTGGTTATTCCATGTATTGCTGAAACAATGGCTTTTTAGTAACTTCATTCCATTTTCACTTAAGTAATGACACCAAACAAGCTGTAAAAATGTACTTATTCTGCTTAGGTTAGGTAGCGCTGACTACTTTCTCTCATTAGTCAGCCTAACTTCTCTGTGGCTTTAGAAAACACTGGTGGTTTTTAAAAAAAGTAAAATGTTCCTCCAGCAAACATTATTATTTTTGTCTAAATCAAACATGTAATTGCAAAATGCTTAATTTGATGGAAAAGTAAATGGGCGTCTGCTTTGTGCCTGCTGTTATTTATGGGTGTGCACAATATCACTTGGACATTGAGCTGAGTTCTGGGCTAGATATCTAAATGCTATCACTTACACCCATCGAACTAGAGGTCTTTTATAAACCAGTCAAATAAATACAATTTTTTTAAAAAAGTAAAAGTAGGTTTTTAGCCTCTCCCCCTCCTCTCTAATCTGGGGCTGGGGGCAATAATGATTTGATGACCGATGAAAATAGAATTGTCAAAGCTAAGCGTTTTTTATACATTCCTTCTCCCTCTCGTTATGGTTAGCAAATGAAAGTTGAAACGTACAGCTCCCTAGCGCTCACTTTGCACTTGTTGCAATGGCTGCATAGTAAAGGTACAACTAGACTACGGGATTTTTTTGGGATACTGGAGGTATCCTGAAAAAACTCTGCTGCTTCTGGGGAACACATTTGCTCTTCCGCGCAAAAAAAAAAAAAGAAGCAGAAGAGCAAACGTGCTTTTTCGGAAGCCCCTGTGTTCCTTGTTCCACGAGAAAGAAGGGGGGCTTTGAAAGAGGGTTTTATTCCGAAATTTGGCCCAGTCTAGACGGGCCAAATTTCGGAAAAGCCTCTTATGGCAAAAGTATTGGAAAAAGATATGCAAAATGCAGAGCGCTCTGCATTTTGTGTATCTTTTTCCAATAACTTCTCACAGTCTAGCCGGATCCTTAAAAAGTTTTAAAAAAACAAACAGTGGTAGCCTCTCGGAGTATATGACTTTCTTCTGCGATGTTTTATTCTAATAGTGGCCTGCACAAGACCAATAATTATCTATAAGGTTTCTGGTTTTGTTTTTCTTACAGGTATACAAATATTCTAAAAGGCTTTAACACCCACCAGCATCCAAAAACCTGTTCTTCCTGGTTGATTAGACTTAGCTACTTCCACTTACGTGCTTTGATAAACATGCTCTTGATATACACATTACTTTGAAATTTAACTTTTTTTTCTTTTTAAACTCTACAGTCTATTGAAAGAATTTGAACAGGTGTCCAGCCACCTGACGACAGAGCTGCATCTGTTCTCAATGGATGACTTGGTAAAGATTAAACAAGGGGTGTTAATTCCTACTCTTAGGGATATTCTAAAAAGCTCCATATCTCATGTAGAGAATTGTGAGGTAAGGAATACAGCCTGCTGAATAGCCACAACTGACCTTATTCTTTTATAAATACACACTTTATAAACTTCAAAAAAGTAATTAACTCTTTCAATTCTTCTAGCTTTGTCAAGCCAAAGGATTTATTTGTGAATTTTGCCAGAGCTCAGATGTACTTTTCCCATTTCAGATTGCCACATGTAAAAGGTGTACAGGTATGTTCCAGCCCAAACATATTTCTTTTTGCATCCACGTGCATGTGTACGTACAATGTTTCAGGCTCCAATTCTGCAAGGTAATTAAGTATGTGTCTAATTTTAAACTCACAAGAAATCCCACACGTATCAGTGAGTTTATCATATATTTGAAAACTTAGATGTGTCTTTGAATATAACTTAACAAAATTGAAGAGTGTTATTGGTGTGGGTTTACATTAGTGGTTCTCAAAGTGTGTGGTCTGAGGATCACTAGAGGTTCGTGACCATCTTGTAGGTGGACCTCGGGACTCCTCCTACCCCCCAGCAGTGAGGAGCCCACACTGCTGCTGGTGCTTCAGCTCTGCACCACCTCCCCCCAGCCCACACTCCTCCCATCTCCTCCAAAGTCAGAGTGCCAGTGCTGGCTCCCTGCCACCAGGAAGAGAGGGGGGCGAGCCTTGTGGGCTAAATCCTTGTGGGAGGAGGAAGTGATTGCATGCTGCTGCTGCTCCTCCCTCTCATTGTAGGAACAGAAGTGCAGAAAACATCTTGCCTGGAGGCTTTCCCGCTGCTCCCATTGGCCGGAATTCTGGCCAATGGGAGCAGCAGGGGGTAATGTTTAGGGGTGTGGACCCAGGTAAGTGCCCCAGCCCCATCATGCCCTGACCCCATAGTTCCATCACCCTCACACACACCCTTCCACAGAGACTCTGCACCTCCACTCTGCTCCTGCATCCTCCCTTCTGACTAGATCTCCCCACCCTCAGCCCACTCGTGCACCCTCCCTCCCATCCAAGGCTTGTACCCTCTTCCCCTCCTGCACCCACTTTGCCGTCATGGGTGGTTAGCTGGTGGTCCATGGAAAGATTTATATTGAGTGGGGTGGGCCATGGGTCAAAAAGTTTTAGAACTACTGGTTTACATATATCAGGATTGAAGAGTAAATATATTGTTGTCATCAGGTTTTATTGGACCTAATCCATTATCCATGGAAGTCAATGGAAAGACTCCACTTGGCTTCAACGTGCATTGGCTTGGGCTCAAAATATGAAGTTAACCTTGTTACGTTGTGTTTCGTTGTCCTGGTCATGAGTCTTCTTCAGTTACTTTCATATGTGGATAAACTATTAACCATCAAAGAATACAATTATTGATGCCATTTTCCCCACCTACTTGTGTGTTTAAACAGTTTGCAAAGCGTGCTTCCACAGTCAGTGTTTCAAGTCTGGAGAGTGCCCCAAATGTCTGAGAATAGCTGCTCGGAGGATGTTTGCAGAATCTCCATCTGTGGTTATGTGACGCTGAATGATAATGATGAAACTCATAGATCACTTTTAAGAAACTAGATAGATATTCATATGGTGTCTGTCTATAAGCCGGGTAATGTTGTTTTAAACATTTCTACTTTTAAATTATCCTATTACCTTAAACTATTTTAATGTGACTTTTTTTTAAAAACAGCTTTTAATATTATCTTTGAATACCAGTCCTGAGAGAAAGTAGTTTTAACTGATCACATTAAACTGTATGTTAATGCCCTCATTAATATTTTGGTGCTATTTGGTGTTTTATTCTTTTGTTTCGGAACTTAGGTTTTTATTATTTTATATTTGACATGTTGACAGTTCCCATCTGTAACACCGCATACAATGTATAGAAAATAAACAAGATTGAAAAACTCATTTATTTAATGTTGTCAGATTTTTATTATCAGCAAGAGATGATTAAAATAAGGAATTTTCACTTCTCTATTGAAACAGTAGTACAGAAATGCCTTGACCTGAAAATATTATGCTGGTAAACATCCTAACTCAAAATGGTGGGTCAGCTTTATTTTTAAAGGCTTGCTGTAATCGCTAGGGTAGTACTTTCTAACCTGTGAAATGCCAGGCTACTTAGGGACAGTGTGTTGAGAGAAGGAGGAGAGAGATACATGACCCTGAATCCACTTTGTTCAACACTGTTGGCTGATTACTGTTGCTGACTACTAAGGTCAAGCACTGACTATTTCTTTGAAAACTGACTGCTTTCCTTACTGGCTTCTGCAGTTTCTTCTAATGAAGCCCCACATGGAAGCAGCTCATTCACATGACTGTGCTGAGCTACTGCTTGAACCTATATCACTTCTACTCCTGTAGTAGTTGCCTCAGTGGTGACAGCAGAAACGCCCACACTTCACTACAACACCACTGGACACCCCAATGCTTACAAGAAGGATTATTGTGAATTTTATTGTAGATGTTGATCTGGATAGCATGTCCCAAAATACTTGGTTACTTTCAAACACCCTTCCCCCTTAATATCCGTTCAAACACTACCGCTGTACTATATCTGAAACTGGGATCTGTGGCAATTTGCTTCCAAGCAGACCATCTTTCATAAAACACATTACAAGTGGGCACGCTTCATATATAGTTAATATCTTCCTGTGACTGGAAACAACATTTAGCTGCTTATTGCGTAAAGGTAAGATTATCATCTATTACTGTTATCTAAAATCTGCAAACAGGCATGAAGCTGCTGAGAAGTGAGTGGTGTCTGATGATGAGATTAGGTGATGGGACACACCTAGAGTTGGCTGCTGTTAATGTGATGCAAGTGTTAATTGCAGCATCTGCATACAAAACTGAATAAGGTGCATTAATGGATTTGCGATAGGGATTTACAGTTGATAAAAGAAGTTGCCTTAATCCCTGGATAGAACAACTTGCAGGACTACAGGATTTGTTTGAATAAGGTAAAAATGTCCACTTAAACTTTTTTGGTTGTGTGCTTTCAGTGAATAAGCTAATGAATGAGTTTTCTTGCCCACATATTTGCAGAAAGAGGAATGTTAAAATGAGTTTTGTGCATGTGTGCACACAGTCTATGCCAGTGGCTTTCAAACTATGGGTTGCAACCTAGTACTGGGTCATGGAATGTCAGGCACTGGTTCTCGGTGCTGCAGGGTGATCAGGTGACAAGTGGGGGTGCTAAGGCAGGCTACCTACTTGTCCTGGCGCTGCAGATGCTGCTGTGCCCAGAAGCAGCTGGCAGCAGGCCCAGCTCCTTGGAGGGAGTGTGGGGGAGGAGGAGTGAGCACACAGGGCTCCACACACTGTCCCTGCCCTGAGCACTAGCTCAGCACTCCCATTGGCTGGGAACCTGTTGCTGGCTGCTTCTGGGGCATGGCATGGTCTGCGGTGCTGAGAGAGGCAGGAAACCTGACTTAGCACCTCCGCTGTACCACTGACAGGGAGCCGCTTAAGGTAAGCCTCTCCTGCCCCATCAGTGACACGCCCCCCCCAAGCTGGAGCCCCATCATATATCCCAAAGCTCTCATCCTCAGCTCCACTCCGGAGCCCACGCTCTAGTCAAATTATGTTGGGTCATGGGCATCAACAATTTTCTTCAACTGGGTCATGAGAAAAAAGTTTGAAAACCACTGGTTTATGGTTTAATCAGACTCCATAAATATTACTTGACTTCAGCATCACCACTTGAATTCAAACTTTTTCAACAGTTGAGTTTGAAAACAAAAAAGCCTTTGAATAAATTTGAAAACACAAGCTACTTGTGGACAGCTAGAAGGAGGGAGAAGGTAAACCTGTTTTAAAAACCTCATTACAAGTCTTTTCATTTAGCCTATCATATATATACAATAGCCCAATGTCTGTCACTCTGTAACTCTGAAATGCTGGCTGTTCCCTCTGGGTGGCGCTCCCGCCGTGGCACTCGGCTGACTTCTGCGCCGCTCAGCTGGGCCGCCGCACAGAAGCAAGCGGCACAAGTGGCTGTTTGGGGTCTGTGCTCCCCATGCAGCACAGAGGTGCTGCATGGGGAGCGCAAGGCCCAAATGGCCACTTGCTCCCATGCGGTGGCCCAGCTGAGCGGCGCAGAAGTCAGCCGAGTGCCATGGTGGGAGGCAACAGTGCCACCTAGAGGGAACAGCCAGAGGGTGGGGCCTGGACGAGCATGTGTCTCTGACGTCAGGAAAGGGTGCCGACCAGATTCAAAAGGAGGAAAGTGGAGCAGACACAGAGGAAACAGAGAGGAGAATGGAGGAGGCGGAGAAGAGAGAACGGAGGAAGCAGAGGATAGTGAGAGGGAGAGGGAGAGAGACACAGCAGGAGGAAGAGAAGAGAAACACAGAGTGAGAGGCGGGAGGGGAGAAGAGAAAGAGAGAGAGACGGAGAGAGAGGCAGAAGGCGGATGAGAGCTGAGAGAGAGAGAGAGAGGGCAAGGCAGTAGGAGGAGAAAAGAGAGAGAGGCCGTTTGCGCCACTTGCTCCCATGCGGCGGCCCGGCTGAGTGTTATCAAGGTTATCAAACTACAGAACATTGATAACCTCCCCAATAACACCATCCTTGCCACCATGGATGTAGAAGCTCTATACAACAACATCCCACATGAAGTCGGATTACAAGCTATTAGAAACACTATCCCAGAGGACACCACTGCCAATCTGATAGCAGACCTATGTAACTTTGTTCTCACCCACAATTATTTCCAGTTTGAGAACAACTTATACCTCCAGATCAGCGGCACAGCCATGGGTACACGCATGGCCCCACAGTATGCTAACATCTTTATGGCTGACCTAGAACAACGTTTCCTCAACTCCCGTCCCCTTTCACCCCTCCTCTACCTACGGTACATCGATGACATCTTTATGATCTGGACACATGGCCAAGAAACACTGGAGATATTCCACAGAGATTTCAACAACCTACACCCCACCATCAACCTCAGCCTGGACCATTCTACACGAGAGATCCACTTCCTGGACACCACAGTACAAATCAACAATGGAAAATTAGACACCACTCTCTACAGAAAACCCACCGACTCATACAGTTACCTACATGCATCCAGCTCCCATCCAGAACACACCACACGATCCATCGTCTATAGCCAAGCCCTTCGATACAACCGCATCTGCTCTAACCCCACTGACAGAGACCAGAAGCTTCAGGATCTCTACCAAGCATTTATAAATCTCAACTACCCACCCAGAGAAACAAAAAAGCAAATTGAAAGAGCCAGACGAATACCTAGAAACCATCTACTTCAAGACAGACCCAAGAAAACCAACAATAGAACACCACTTGTCATCACCTACAACCCCCAACTTAAACCTGTCCAACACATTATCAATAAACTACAGCCTATATTGGAACAGGATACCATACTCAAAGAGGCTCTGGGAGACAGACCCATAGTCTCCTATAGACAACCACCTAACCTCAAGATGATTCTTACCAACCACCACAGGACATACCACACTAATACCAACCCTGGTACCTTCCCTTGCAACAAACCCCGTTGCCAGCTTTGTCCACATATTCATTCTGCTGATACCATTATTGGACCTAACCAAGTGAGTTATAAGATCAAGAACACATATTCCTGCGCATCCAGAAATACATCCAGAAATATAATTTATGCAATCATGTGCTGAAAGTGTCCGTCCGCTATGTACATTGAATAAACGTCTCAGACACTTCGCCAAAGGATCAATGCCCACAAAACAGATATCAGACAGGATCACAAAGAAAAAACAGTTTCTTGCCATTTCAACCAGAAAGGACATTGTCTCAACGACTTGATTACCTGCATCCTGCTTCAAAGACCTTTTAAGACTTCACTTCAAAGAGAATCCTCTGAACTGTCATTCATGCTTAAATTCGACACTTTACACGCAAATTTGAATAAAGACGCTAATTACCTTACCCATTACAAAGATAGCTTCCCCAATTATCACCTCTAATATCATTAGCTCACAGACATTTACCTCCCTCCCTCCCTTCCCCTCATCCCCCTTTTGTTCTGAAATTTGATTTGTCCTTTTCATATGTGTTCATTTTTTTAAATTGTATCCTTTGGTACATATGGTTGTGACAATTTTCTTCCACTATTTGATCTGAGGAAGTGGGTCTGGCTCATCACCTATTAAACCATCTTGTTAGTCTTTAAAGTGCTATACAGTCCTGTTTTTTATTTAAATATTAGTATCTGTTCACAGCCCTGTTTCATGCCAGTGTTGCAGACTTGCTAGAACAGATAGTTCCAATAGGACATTATGCCCTAAGGCAAGAGTGGGCAATAATTTGTGATGAGGGGGCCACTCCAAGATTTTTGAAAGTGGTCAAGAACTGCAACTTTCGTGGGGTCTAGGATGGAGGCTGGGTGCAGAAGGGGACATGGGGTAAGGGACTACGGTGCAGGAGACAGTGTGATGAGAGGGAGTTTGGGTGAAGGAGGGGGTTGTGACCTGAGTCAGAGGATTGGGGTGTTGGGTAAGGGAGGAAGTGTGGGTGCAGGAGAGGTTTCTGGCCTGGGGGAGGGGCTCGAGGAAGAGATGCCAAGTCTGGGAGGGAGCTATGACCTGGGAAAAGGGCTGTGCAGACTGCAGAGGGTTTGGGGGTGACCAGGGGCAGGGCATTGGGATGCAGGGTCTGAGAGGGTGTTTGGGTGCAGGAGAGGATTTTGGCCTGGGGGAGGAATGTAGGAAGGGCCTGGGAGGGAGTTACCTGGGGGGAAAGGGGACAGAGGGTTTGGATGGTGACCTGGGAGAGGGAATTGAGTTGTAGGAGCAGGTGTGGTGCCAGAGACAGGCTCTGGCTGGGAGGCACTTACCTAAGCAGCTCCCAGCCACCAGCCTTGCAGCACCCCCAAGGCAGATTGGGCTCCCTGCCTGCTGCAGCCCCAGTTCACTTTAAACTGCACACTGCTCCCTCCATGTGGCTCTGAGAGGGGGAAGAGGCTTGCGCTGCCCCCATCCTCCAGGCCAATCAATCAGCTCCTATTGGCTGGAGTCAGTTCCTACTGGCCAGTTGTTTCCGGC